GCAGTCTAATCTTAAATCGTATGTCCCGACTTTTGTTTCTAACAGGTCTGGAATTCTCAACAACAATTGTGTGATCAGCTCAGCGAATACTATCTAATTCATGGTTAACAGCAATCAGATTTTTATATTTCACAGTGATTGTGTAGTCACTTAGTTTTACTTTCAGATTTTTTCAGTACACTTTGCTGATGGTAAACTTGCTGTTCAGGATAGGGTCTTTCCACTGTCAGGTTAGACAGATTGTTGTTCTCAAATTTCAGTTATATCACATCTAAGTTAGCAAACTTCATTTTTTAACATACTATTATAACGATATAATGATTTTCATGGGGAATTGGATGTTTAAACCATGAATAGAATAAATATATTAATCAATTTGGGATGCATTTGTATTCTAAGTTTCAAAAAAATTTTAAATGATGGTACATAGCTACGGAATCAGATTTATTACATCTATAAGCCATTTTAAAAAATGTATACTTTTGGTCCTTTTTCTCCATTTTAACTGATGCACTGATTATTTTTTTCGTTACAGTGGTAACTATTATAAACGAATTTCTGTGTATTGAAACTTAGTTGGTATATTGAGAGTAGTTGTGTTATCTAGCATACGCACAGAAGCTGAACTAATCAAGCATTTCTGGTACTATTTTTCTTCTTGCATAATTGATCAGTAATAAGTGGTATGAACTGGATTGATGTTTTATGAACGAGTGTATAGTATCATTAACTAATGTTTTGTTTTTTGCACCTTCACTTGAAATTGTAACTTTCTGAGCGATTTTTCACATGACAGAGCAGCGAGTTGCGTTATTCACAAAGTACTACTTATCTTTGGTTCTAAGACTGTTAACTGAAAATAAGATGAAATGTTTATTTTTATCTGCAGCATCTGTGAAATATAAAATGATTATTTTTCATTCTTTTTTACAGAAAATGTTTTGATAAATGGAGAAAATTTTAAATGTACCTTGCCTGCCTTGCGAATTCAATTTATTTCAATTACGTCGCAGCTGAAGATTGGTTAAAGTGCCAAATATTTAATAAGTTTTTAGAAAATTTAGATAAATTTTCAGTATTTGTTTTTATTTTTAGCTTCTAAATTTTGCTGCTAGTTTCAGTTTGACAAGTTATTTATGTAAAACTCAAGGATGAACATGAATGACTACGCAGAAAAGAGAAAAAAGTATTGAAGTTTACATTAGTTGGTTCTTACATACCATGGCGGTTTTTTTCTGTTCTAAATTGATTTCTGAAATTTTGATTGATTTCTTTTCCCTCATATTGAATTTACTTTAGATTTTGTAATACTTTCAAAATACGTGCTATATTTATTGTATGATTCTGCACTATGGCTACTTTTTGCAGTTGCGTATTTAATACGTTTAAGAAGTAATTAAAAGTGGGAAAACCTTTTCAGAAACTTGACAGTTAGAAATGAAAATGAAATAGAAAGCTCCTCTTGTGCCAATGTCATGTCTAAAGAGTTCGACTGTATCTGAGGTATTAAAGTTATTCGTTCAGAAAGTGAAGCAGTTATAGCACTGTATTTTACTTAAAGTAAATTGAAAATGATTGAGATGATATTCATTGATAAATTATTCATAGAGTCTGAGGAGTGCAAAATATGCATGAGCGAGTTATTGAGGCTTATTTCGTGTTGCTAAATTTAGTTTACGTGGCACATTGTGACTATTTCACGTTTACTTGCTTTTTCTTTGTCTGTTATGTTTGTGTTTATATCTATGCCTTATCTATAATCATTTTTTGACTTTTTGGCACAAATATGCATAAACACGCATTTTCAAGAACTAATGTTTTTCATTAAAAAAATTTTTCTGCTTTGTTTCATACTTTTCTCACTTCACTCTAAAGTGCAAAGAATAGAAAATCAAGTAAGTAATGTTGGCAGTAGATGCTCTCAAAAAACGACAGCTTCTCATCAGTCATATTTTGTATTGCCAAGAAATAACTAATGCTGTTGCGATTATTTTCAGAATACATATTTTTATACATTCCTTTTAAATGTAACTAATTGCTGTTGCTAAAATTATCAATCGAAGTATTGAGGGATAATTTGTAAAGCGAGCATAAGTAGAAATTTTATACTCTGATAAAAGCGTTAAGCATGAGGACTGTTCGTTCACATATGCAAACTGAGATATACTTAAGCATAAAATTGAAGCTGTTTGAGTTGAACAAACCGAGTTGGGTTTGTTAGTATAATATGCTGGTGCTAGCAAACAGAAACGTAATAAAAGCTAGTCCCAGTAATCATTGATTAACCTGAGTTTGTTGGCATGTGGAATTACACTAGTAAGTAATCTTATCCCATTTGCATAAAGTAAGTACTGAATGGCAGCGCTCACTTGTTTACTTTTTCAGTCTTACTAACTCACTACAATTTTAGCCAGCATCGAACAGGACTTGCAAGATCTTTTAAAATAAACTTGCTTAGTGTTGGTGTTTAGCAAAAAGTATGCTAGTTGCATATATCTAATAACGTTGCTTACATAGAGCAAGAAATAATGCTTCATGTTCGTTCAGTGTACTTGCAGAAGAGTTCGATGTATATGTGTTGTTGAGATTGAAGGAATCATAGAACTGCGTGTTGCAACAAATGTTAGTAGTGATTGCATCATGCTGAGTTGCTGTTTTCTGTCCATCCATCAGATATATTACTTACATATCGAACTTTTCTTCAAGCACTCTTCTATTTATGAGTGTTTCTGTCTGCCATAACCATCACTGCAAATCATATCTAATCTTTCCAAGCATACTTGTGTCACATAGCTTGAAAGCCGTATATAATTATACACTAAGACTGGTTAGCTGATCACAAGTTAGCCATTTTGATCAGTCTTACATATCGCCAATCCTTTATTTGAACAGCAAGCAAGAAAAACTGCAGTGCTCTACGCTGTTTATTACACGCCAAAAATAGATCTTATTTTAGCAGTTAACATCGTAATTCGTGTGAGAATTAGTTGGTGAAGAAAGTTTGCCTTTGAGATGAGAAAGTACGAAAAGCAGTGGCGGCAGTATCGGTAGGCTAAGTGCAAAAAGGGGGCTAGCTGTTTTTCACATGAAAAATTGGCTCTCTTTGCTGATGTTCTTTATGCTGCTATTTTTAGACACTTTTGCACTAACAACAATGCATTACATTTTTTAAATATTAAAATTATGTTTATTATACGTAGTCAGATTAATACGAAAAAGAAGCAAGACTGCTACAGCAGCTGATTTAGTTGTTGAAAGAATTGAAGCAGGTAGAGAAAGAAGTAGAAGGAAAGAGAAGAGAAGAGGAAACAAATTGAAGATGGATTAATTTTGTACATTGAAAAAAGCAGACTGTGCAACACTGCAAGTATTGGTTGTGGTGTGTGAAGTGGAAGTGAAGGATTGAAAAGACATGAAACAGTGGTCAGGGTGAGGAAAAATTGCGTATACAAGACGATAACTTGACTCGATTTTATGCTAGTTACTGTTATCACTAATGATAAAGTTAGAGAAAGACAGTAATATGTGCTGTGCTTTAACTTTTTTATTCATTTCTAAGAATAGTTTATATAATTCAACGAATAAGTTTAGATGTAAAATACATAAGTGACAAATTAGTACAATAATAGGGAGGTAGTAAGAGAAGTTATTAATTTGTACGTGTCAAGTTTTTAACTCAGTACTCTTATATGTTACTGGATGCAGTGGCTTACTGATTGTTATCATTTAAAGTTTTTTATATGTGAGTGAATTAATTGTTGGCAAAGAAATAAATTGGTATATAGAACGCGCTTGCGACGCCGTTGCGACTGCTGGTACTGTGTTAATTGTGTTGCTGCTATCGTCGCTTTCTGGTCTTGAGGAATCATAAGTGGATGTGGAACGAACCATCGATTAGGATATGATTGGAAGAATGCATAGTGATGGGAGGAGTTAGGGAGGAGTGATTGTGTGAGATTGGAAAAAGCAGTAGTAGTATATGCATAGAAGCAATTATGCGTGTTACTTCTTATTATTGCGCAGTCTATTTTAGGAAAGTGTCCGAACATTTTTAAGAGTAGCATTAAAATTGAAAATGTCTGTCTGTACCCACGTAGACACATCACAGTTTGAAACACTCTCTCTCTCACTCTCTCACTCACTCTCTCCCTATCATAAACATAGAAGGCAGCAATCTCATCCATCTTCATTTAAGCTCACAGTTGGAAGTGAGCAAGAATGCTATCTTGAGGAGACAGGACTACTCATACCACTTCCATGCGTAACTATATAAACAAGTCTAGAAAGAGATTACTGTTTACGTCATTTAGAGTGCAGTATAAAATGCATTGAATGCTTGCAGAAAATGAAGCAAATACTTAGAAAGTTTTATTATTCGAATAATATTAATAGCTGAATCCTCATGTTTTAATGTGTTGTGCTGAAGGAGTTTAAGTTGAAACGTAGATTTCCAATGGCGTAAAGCAGTCAGTGTTTACTTCACTTTTTAATTAATTTAGATGCACTACAATAAATAATTGGATATTGTCCATTTAAGACTGATAAATGGATGAAGTCGTCAAACACAGAACGATGTTATAAAAGGTCATTGTAGCATCAAACAAATGGACTTCAAGAATTAACTCTGCACCTGTGTATCAAGCATATTTAAAATGTAATCTGCCATTCTGGTTTTGTTTCATTCGGTTCTTCATTTTTTTTACAAAGACAAGAATGTCATGTAGTTTCTTATAGCAAAAATGAAAAGCAAAAAATGCTTAGTATAGAATTTGCGTTTTGATTAAATGTTTGTTTCTGCTATAAGTACTTGTTAGTAGCAGAAGCAATGGTGATGATAAGCGGACGTTTCTGCGATATTTACTTGAGACTAACTTATTTATTTCCCTTTAATTAATCCTCCAAAATGTTTCTTTGACATAGATAGAACCAGTTCATGGAATGCTTTACGCTGAAGTTTTTAATATTGAAGTGTTGTGAGAAGTAAAAATGTGAAGCAGGAAATGACTAATTTCAATTTGCAGTTTACTTTGCAATTGGGCACAGCAAGTTTGGGCAGGTTCAATTCTAATGACATAGCAAGTACCGATTGGGTTTAGTAAAGTAATAAAGGCAAGCCATGTGTTAGTATTAGTCGCACTTGGCTTTGAATTATTCAAAACATAGCACACTTCCTTGCTCATATCATTGCCATCAAACATTTCTTTTTTCGTCATTACTCTAGTGAAAACTTACGCAGATAAAGGAAATGATGCTTCAGCCTCGCTAACTGTAATTCATAAATGTCAGTGCTTGGAAAGCTACTCTGATCTCTTTTTTTTTTTACATTGGAGAAAAGTGCCATCGAATTCAATATGTTTGGATCACACTTTTTCTTCACTCATCAAGATTTTATCGGTTTGTTCAAACTTTTTTTTTTCAATTTCAGGTCAACAAGCAGATTGAAGAGCAGTTACAGAAGGACAAGCAGTTGCTTCGGGCAACTCATCGGTTGTTGTTGCTTGGAGCTGGTGAGTCTGGTAAGAGTACTATCGTGAAGCAAATGAGGATTTTGCACATCAATGGCTTCAATGAGAAAGAAAAGAAAGACAAAGTCAGCGATATTCGCAGGAATGTGCGGGACTCCATTGTGGTTAGCTTATTTTTATCTTTTACCACACGTGCTGATAGTTACTCCAGCACAATATGTTATAACACTTAAATATTTTAAATCTATACGTAGATATGAAGTGAATGGAAAAAATTCTGTTGCTGCTGTTGTCGGTTCTTGATTGAGGAATCATGTACAGTACATAATTTTTTTTAGTGATAGTAGTAGACATCATAAGTGAAGGTGAATGAGATATTGAGGTAATTTTATTGTTGAATTATTATTAAAGATTTTTTAGTCTCTGTGTTAGGATACTATTTTTATCCAGAACTATAGGTCATATTGAAAGCAATGTCCGAAATTGATCCACCTGTGCAACTGGATGATCCTTCAAAAAATCCGAGCAGAGATTATTTGTTGTCATTGACTGCTGCTGATCCTGAATTTGATTATCCTCAGGTTATTATTTTTATTATTGGTAGTAACAAGGCAGCTGCGATTCTTTTGATATTCCTTTTTAGAAATGATTCAGATATTCAAATGTATTTTTCAAAAGCGAATGAATATTTTCGTTGGAGTATTAATATTTTTATAGGTATTCTATGATCACGTTGTAAAGTGCTGGACTGATCGAGGAGTGCAGGCCTGCTTTGAAAGAAGTAATGAATATCAACTTATCGATTGTGCTAAATAGTTAGTTTCGATTATTCTTCTTTTGTAGTTGCTTTATATTATGCTAAGTCTGAAAAATTTTTTATAATCTGTATGACTTCATTTTCAGTTTTCTCGATAAAGTCACCGATATTCGGCAAAATGATTATAATCCTTCAGAGCAGGTTTTATTTTCTTGTTTCAGTCTTTTTTTAAATAGATTCTAAGAAAAAATTCAAGTTCTTGATGATTGCTTGGTTGAAGAAATCTGCAAATATTTTAAACTTTCCAGGATATTTTGCGCTGCCGTGTGATGACAACAGGGATTTTTGAAACCAAGTTCGAAGTAGACAAAGTGCGATTTCAGTGAGTTGTATCTCTTATTTAATATATGCCCATGTTTTCGTCGATTTTTTTTATATTTCTACATTTTGCTGTCAAAATTCGAAAATGTGATGAATTTCGGCTTTAAGAAGTTTGATTCTACTTTTTTATGTCTGTGCAGGTAGTAATTTGAAAGCAAGGTAAGTCACTTTTTCCGTTTTATTGCCTAATATGTTATATTTAGCATGTTTGATGTTGGTGGTCAACGAGATGAGCGTCGAAAATGGATTCAGTGCTTCAATGACGTGACAGCCATCATATTCGTGTGTGCCAGCTCATCCTATAACCTCGTATTATGGGAAGATGAGACTCAAAATCGTCTTAGAGAATCTTTATCGTTATTTAAAAATATTTGGAATAATCGGTGGTTAAAAACTATTTCTGTCATTTTGTTCTTAAATAAGCAGGTATGTTGCATTTTCATCATGTCATTTTTTAAGCATGGGATAGTTTTATTCTTTTCATTTCCAAGCGAATAATTCAGTAAAATAATGAAAAATTTGTTGAAGTGTTGAAATAAGTAAAAAAAATTGTTATACCTTTTTCATATTGAGCACTTTATTTCAGCTTAATTTTACCCTTTAATTATGTAATTATGTCATTGAATAATGTATAACAACATATTATTCGTAGAATCATTGAACTTAAGAATTTCTAGGATTTACTGACGGAAAAAATTAAATCCAGGCGGCATTTATTAGAGAGTTATTTCCCTGAATTTGCTAGTTACCAATTACCTGCTGATGCCGCTTACGACGCATCTGATGATATTGAAGTTGTTAGGGCAAAATACTACATCAGAGGAGAATTTTTGGTAGGATCAAACTTTCGATTGCTATTGATTTTTAGCACTGTGCATCTCTCAAAAGTACTTCTGTATAGCATTGGTTATTGTACTACATTCCTTGTTTTGTACAGTGGTTATCTTTTAGCGAATCTCAACCGCAGCTGGTGATGGGCGGCATCACTGTTATCCACATTTCACATGCGCAGTGGACACAGAAAACATTCGACGTGTATTCAATGATTGTAGGGATATTATTCAGCGTATACATCTGCGTCAATATGAACTGTTGTAGGGTAGATTGCTTTTCTGTGTTCTCTTAAGTACGCCTAGGCTATGCGGGGCTTTATTTGTCTTCAATTGTTTTTAATAATTTGTATAAACCTTTAAATTCACTCACACACTGCTCCGATTTTAATGTGTAATCCGGTTGTATTGAGTGTATATGTTTGTGCTATGCTGTACTGTATAACTTTATTATTGTACATATTACACATTTGATCTGATATTAATTATATGTTTCTTTTTTTCAGTCAAAGATTTTGAAGGGTTGCTTCACTTTACCAGAAATTGTTTCATTCCAAATTGATTTTTGATAGCTCATTTTGCGAAAAAAATGTAAGATGCAAGTGTCTGTATTTCGTGAAACATAATCATATAGAACGTAGACCGATCAGCTTAAACGTAATAATTTTTACTGCTTGCGTTAAATTGGACGAATTGAGTGTCTACAGTACTGCTTGCTGCTTTTTTGAAGTAATTTAAGTACTTTGTTTGTTTTTACTGAATTTTTGTGGATATAAGCCTCGCACTGCCTTTGGCATATTTTACGGGAAAACTTTGACGTAAAACTAATCATAATTGAGTAGCGCTGTAGTAATCGATCATCGTTAGATTATATTATTAATGAATAGTTCTTTACTAAAAATGTAAGTAGTAATGTGTATATCCCCATTCTTCAGGTTCTCTTCACTTTTATCTGTAGTGCTTCAATTTGCATAGATGGAAATGCATACTAACCTCTTCTAAAAACAAGTTTTTATGATAATTGATAGATAGAATTTGACGACATGTAGATAGAGTGAGCGTAATTTCTCTTGAAGAGACTTGTTTTGGCGGAGTAAGTCTGAGGCGAAGTAAGTAAGTAAGTGCATGTGATGAACTTGTCAATCCTGGTTGATCATTTCTACATGTATTCAATGCAAATGTATCAAAATCAGCAAATGGATGATGGATAAATTCTTTGTTGTCGCTCAATAATATTTTTTAGTGTTCATCTCTACTTTTTAATGTTGATTTTTGTAATGAAAACGTTAAATTTTAGCATATTTCGTGTCAACTTTACGAATTGTTAAGTTATTATTGTACGCAGTTATTATTATGAACAGACTTTCTCATCCAAAACAGTTCTGTTATGATAATTTTATTAGAACTGTTTGCTTTTCATGCGGTCTCGTTATTTGTTGCTTGCTCATGCCTCAAGCAAATGCTTTAAAGAAAATATTTTTGATGTAAGTAAACGAACACTGGCTGAAATGTAACATTTATTCAGTGAGGTGAAGAAGGCTAGTGAAATTGTGATAAAATAAATGATTTTCAACAAACTATAATATCTGTTAATAAAATTCTTGTCGGTCAGTTCTAATTTTTATTTGCAATTGCTGTATTTATTCTTGCCATAATTGTTTTTCTAAATTATAAACAAAAAGTACTGTTAAAAATGAAGAAGCAGTAGATAGAAAGGAAATTTGGGTGAGAAAGTTTGCGTTTTTACACGTTGAAGCATTGAAAGGACATACTAGCAGACTTCATTTCATGCTGTGATATGCAATAAAATAATCTGAAACAAACCGTAAAGTAATGTTTACAATTATATGTAAGATTAGAGTGTGTATGAATGAATTACTGTGGCAGTTTAGTTTCTATCAGCTTCTCACACAACTGGCATTGTTTTAGCATGTTCACAAGTTAATTCATTTAATGTTATAGTATATATATATATATATATATATATAT